AATGGCACCCCCCCTCAGGAGGTGGAGCTTTTATGTTGGTGTAGCAGGCCACTTACTTGGGCAGAAGCAGCATTCTAGCGTAGAAACTGACATAATTAGGTCAGGTTTCAGAGTAGCAGCCGTGTTAGTCTATATCCGCAAAAAGAAGAACCGGAGTACTTGTGGCCCCTTAGAGACTAACAAATTTATTAGAGCATAAGCTTTCGTGGACTACAGCCCACTTCTTCGGATGCGAAAGCTTATGCTCTAATAAATTTGTTAGTCTCTAAGGTGCCACAAGTACTCCGGTTCTTCTTTTTATAATTAGGTCAGCATAAGCTGCCTTACATCAACCAAACTCTGTGGTATAGAGTAGACCAAGCCTGAATTGAGGCTGCCATCAGAAGAGAGGAAACTATCTGCTCACTGCTATAGCCACAGGCAACAGATTAAATATGCTAATCTGATCCTCTCAGAAACAAATGGGCTGGTTTCACTCACCACTGTTAGTCACCTAATTAACTGCAGCATTCACTTCTCCCCCATTACTTAAATTTGCATGCTGGCCAGTCCACCTTTTTCAACCCAAGCTACTGTTCTCTTCCAATAGCATGATACTTCATGTCAGCCTGCCAGATCCCACTTTAGACCAGGGGTTCTCAACAAAATGTTTGGTGGCCCCAGAGTGCGCCCATGAACTCTTGCTGGTGGTGGCCGCTCTGACAAATTTTCCTAAAATACTTAATCTTTAGGAAAAACAAATAAATATACACATACATGTCCAAACCATTGCAATTTATGTAGGGTTTTTTGCTGCCTCCCCTGCCCCCCCGTGGAGCCTCCTGGCCCCCCAGCGTCCCCAGACCTTGCTGTTTCCCCCCACTTCCCCCCATTGCCCCAAGCTCCCTTCCACAGCCTCGCACCCCAGGTTCATTCCACTCCTCCTCTCGACCACAACTCCCGGTAAGGCCAGCCCTGCTGAAGTACCACTGCCCTGGGCTGAAGCCCAGAGCCAGAGCCCCATGGGTACAGTGGAGGACGGGGCTGAAGCCCAGAGCCCAACACCAGAGCAGGGAGGGGGCTGAAGCCCACCCCCGGAGTCCCACAGATGAAGCTGGGCAGGAGGGTCGGGGAGGGGAGCAGCTGAATCCAGTCCCCCGGAGTAGCACATCCTTAATGAGGGAGTGAGGGCAAACACACTGAAAAGCAAAGCTCTTTACCTAGCTAATTTTGATATCTTTTCTTAAAGAAGTACCCTCCAATAAGATATTTCAGTGTTACTGACTCAAAACTGTTACATCTAGAAACATCACTTTAATAGAAGTCAGGTAACACAGTTGTGAATATTCAAGAAATAAATTATATTACCATATTTTAAGCAGCTTTAACTTGTTTATATATTAAATTCACAATTATTCTGTACCTCATTTGCTCGTTTTTTCCCTGATATCTCTGTAAACATCTGCTCACCAACTGTTTTAATTACACATTGTGTGGAAGAGTCTATAGCTTGTATCTTTTGTTTTCCAAGAAGCTTCTCTGTAATTCCTAGTGATTCAGCAACCTATAAAATAATTAGGGATGACAGAATATAAGTGTGGTTTCTCCTACACCTAATATTTATATAGTCAAATACGTTTCTAAAACGGATCTAGAAAGACATTCAACACTGGGGTCCATTCTATCAGAGAAAACATATATACAGCTTCTCAAGCTATTTTAGACTACAATAACTTCTACAATTAGCCTCCATTCAAATTAAGCATCTCCTATATAATAACTAAAAGTAAAAAAATCAAGAAAAAAAATCAAGCTTAGAGCAAGAACTAGGAATGTAGGGGATATGGCGCACAGGTCCCGAGTAAGTTACTGTACAGCAGAGTTTAACAAAGGACACTATAAAGGTTGTTCATGACTTAAAGTTCTCCCAGTCTCTCTCTCTCTTCTTTTTTTTTAAATCCCTTTGTATCTTCAGACTCGGTACACATTCTCTTACCAATTTTTGCTCTATTTTGTGCACGCATTGGTTTGTTAGTATAGGGTTTCACATGAATGCTGGACTTTTTTTTTTAAATAAGCACATTACAACATGTGTTAAAAAAAATCAAAGAATTATACATGGACTTTGCAAAGAGAAACAAAAAAAGGTAGGTCAAATTTTGGGCCTACCAACCTTGACAGTGTCCCTTTAAACTGGTGCAATTTCATTTCTCCATAGAAGAAACATCATGATTGAGCAGTTACACGAGATAAAGTCAGATGAACACATGTAATAGTAATACAAGGCAAACTTTTGGTATATATTATGATTCTGCCATGATTTATTCTGAAAAACAAATATTCGATTAGCCAGTGCCAAAACTACATATTGTATTTCATTTTTACCCAGGATTATTCTATCTGTGAAATACGATTTCCTCTCTTCCCTTCCTCCCCTGGATTTTCCAGTTTGTCCTGTCTTCTCTCCATCTCACTCAAATTAAGATCTTTGGAGCAGAGACTGTCTTTTGTGCCTTGTTAAATACTGATCATGTTGTTTGCACTTTAAAAGTTTTGCTAGCAGTAATATGTACAAAATATTGTGTTATTCACTACTGAAAATTCGACAGTGATACACCATTACTTGGAGAGAGTCATTTCATCCCAAGCATCAGAAACTGTAAGAGATGTGAGAGATTCCAATATAACGGTCTCTCTCACCCAATGCTAAGAAGTGGAGTAGTGTCTGGAAAAATTGAACTCTTTACCCCAGCACAAATTTGTATTATGATCTGCACAAACAAGCATTAAAAACTGAAAAAGCTATTAAAGAACTAATCTTTGTTGTGTTACATGCCTCAGTTTGATTATGTTCTGTTAATGAGCTTGCTGAATTTATACTTTCATTGAAATATTAAAAATAAATAAATTTTCAAATGGTTCAATTATAGGGTATCTTTAAACTGTAATGTTTACTAGAAAATAAACTTTGGCAAATATAATGGATTTGTCTGCAGGGGGCTCTTTGCATCTCTGTCAGATCCTCAAATACCACTTATTTTAGCTCATCCCCAAGGTCCTCATATGGTGGCCACTTCCTTTCTAGCCAAACATGGGATGGGATTCTGTTAATGCTACTGTCCATCAGAGATTATGTTGAGTCACCAAAGTACCCCTGGGCAGCAAAGCATAGCTTCACACTATTCTAAGCACCTGGGGTTTTGATTTGCATTTTGTAGTCAGCTATCAACTAAGGCTGTGGTTTAATCAAATATTTTCTATTACTAATCAAATTCCAAAAGATAAATATTGTTTAATCTTTTGGTATGTGTTCTTCAGTTTACACTTTATCTCCATTTTCTCTTACCAGGAAGTTGTTTTTCTGTTCACTTATGCTATATACTGCTTAGCAAGAGAGAAAAACATTGTTGAACATCCCCAAAGAACCCCCCTCCAAAATGTGTCCTCTTACCTTGGGATCTTTTATTTCCACAGGCTGCTGATAACTCAGAAAATCAGAATTACTGAAATGGTCTTGAGACATTTTCTTTACCATATTATGTAACTCTTCAAATTCTCTATAAACATCTGGAAAAAAGGCTTTTGCTGGGTAACCTTTTTCAACCTAAATGGAAATAAGCAAGAATATTAAATATGAAATCTAATTCGATCAGCAACATATAGATTTGTTTTGCCTACCACTTTTTTCAATCCTCATTTTATTAACCTTACCAATCAGTCCAGAAAAGAAAGGACTGTGGAATCTTCAGAAATAACACCGATGAGCAGGCAGCAAAAATTAAAAGTATAATCTGGCAAACTATCAACCTTTGACTACATGAGACTCAAGGGTGAACTCTAAAATGTCTTCAGCCTTCATATGTCTAACATCGAACTAAGATTAATTCCCAGAGAAGTTTTCATGGTGTACCTGAAAGATAAAATCTCCAATAATTTAATATACGTACATGATGAGAAAAGCTCACCTTCATCAGTAGAAATTCATACACAGTAACAAGCTTTGTCAGGCGGGGAAGAGCCAGCTCCATTAAATCTTCATTGTCACATTGTTGGATTAGCTGGTAAAGACCAAAATAGTTTCTTTAGGGGGGGGACCCAATATATGCTAATCATCCCTTAATTCATAATGTAAAAAATCTCAGTTCTGCACTCTAGGACACAATAGTCACTATCAAAGAAATGGCACGTGGTAAGGACCAATTCACTTTCCTTTACAGGATCAATAAAATTAAGTGGCTTTAAGAATAAATCTAAATTTAAAGATCTGACCAGAAAAGTTAAGAAGAGTATGGTCCAGTCTTTTGACACAAGCAGTTAATGATCAGTTTCAGTAACAATTGTGTACTCATATGAAAAGAAAAGTAGATCTTAATGAATTAAGCAAATAAGCACAACCATAAGCTCAAACCACAGTAATGTGCAGGAAGCTCAGAAAAACATGACAATTACTTAGATTGTAAGAAAAATATTTTTAGAAAAAGATGGACTCCTTTTTATTATACATAATTTTTATATATTAATAGAGACACATAGTAGCAGTGGCAGTACTAATTATTTTTCCCCAAAACAGAGCCAAGAGTGCATCAAATTACTAAGAGGCCAATAACTATTATCCACAGGGCCAGTTTCTAAAAAAAAATCTATATCTTTTACCAATAACTTGATTTATATGTTTTGCTTAAAAACTTATATAAAATTTTACTTTGGTATTTAAATAACCCCCAGGCCTCCTCATTTATGCACATACATGTCTAGCTATATGTCAAACATACAGCAGCTCCTTGGAGAGCACATCCTCACTACATTTTGATTAAATTTATCAGATTTTGGCAGCAGGCAAGGAAAAAAGGTACATATGAAATAGTTGTAGAAGGGAACCATACCTCTTTTAGTCCAGCTTTTCTTCTAAATATGATGTGTTCTGTTGACACATTACTAAGCGACTTAGAAGGGGACCGACCAGGTCTATTAAGTCTTCCTGAACACATTGATCTTCCAGTCATCCTCGGTCGGCCACGTCTTTTAGGTCGTCTGGGTCTTCCAGGTCCATTTGGCATTCCAGGTCCCCAATGTACTAAACCAGTCTCATTTTGTTGTGCTGCCAACAAAGGTCTGTCTGTTGCAGATTTACCAGTCTTTATAAAAAAAATACAATAATCATTAAAACACTCTCCCTCCCTCAATATGCTGCTGAGAAAATCTGTTTAAAATATTTAGCGAAATTATTCAACCAAATGCTCTCAGTATCCCTAAGCTCTCTTTGCCAGAAACTGGGAATGGACAACAGGGCAATCACTTGATTGCCTGTTCTGTTCATTCCCTCTGAAGCACTTGGCATTGGTCACTGTTGGAAAACAGGATACTGGGCTAGATGGACGACTGGACTGAACCAGTATGGCCATTATGTTCTTATGCAATTTCAGTATTGTTAGATATGAGTAAGTACAGCTGCATGAATATTTGCAGGATTAAATCAGGAAGAGGCTAGGGACACATCTGCTTCTGTAATTTGTTGTCCCTATTTGTAATGTTAGTTCTCCTGCTGATCCATTAAATTAAGTACAATACACAGAACAAAGGGAATTTGATCATAAACAAGAGTAGCCTATGGTCTTGTCAAAGAGCTGCTTGATTCAAAGAGGGTATCTTTTATTTTAAAAGAGAAAATAAAATGGTTTTATATTATTAATTTAGATTTAAAAATAGCATAATAGATCTAAACAAAAAGCTCTAGTTGCCTTGATGGTTAGTTTTACAATTTCATAATGATCACTCAGCAGCATAGGCGCTGACTTCCACTCTGCCCGGTTGGTGCTCGACCCCCCACCCCGACCTCACCCCTGCACTATCCTTGCCCCGCCCCTATTCCACCCTTTCCCTTCCCACCCCCATTCCACCCCCTTTCCCCAAGTCCCTGCCGCACCTCTTCTCCGTTTCCTTCCCTGAGCGCGCCGCGTCCCCGCTCCTTCCCCTCCCTTCCGGAAAGTCCTAAGCATCAAACAGCTGTTAGGCAGCGGGGGGGGGGGGGAAGAGAATGGCGGAGGAGGAGCGGGAACGGAGTGCGCTCGGGGAGGGGAAGGAGGCGAGGAGCTTGGCTGCTGGTAGGTGTTGAGCACCCGCTAATTTTTCCCCATGGCTGCTCCAACCCCAGAGCACCCACAGAGTCAGCGCCTATGCTTAGCAGTATTAAGTTCATATATGAATAACAGACTCAATGCAGCAGCAGCAGCATTAAGCAATCAAATGGAAGGAAACAAATTAACTCAGCCAGCCAGAATACCAAAGAAACTATCCACTATTCCAGAAACATACCTTCAGCTTTCCCCCAAAATCCTGTCAAATAAACAGTTCTGCAGTGAGCCCAGGAAGTCATCAAGTTCAGGCTATCCTGAATTTTGTGTTTCCCTATTTCTAAGAACGTAAGAACAGCCATACTGGGTCAGACCAAAGGTCCATCTAGCCCAGTATCCTGTCTTCTGACAGTGGCCAATCTCAGGTGCCCCAGAAGGAATGAACAGAACAGGTAATCATCAGGTGATCCATCCCGTCACCCATTCCCAGCTCCTGGCAAACAGAAGCTAGGGACACCATCCCTGCCCATCCTGGTTAATAGCCACTGATGGACCTATCCTCCATGAATTTATCACATTCATTTTTGTTATATGTTATAGTCTTGGCCTTTGCGACATCCTCTGGCAAAGAGTTCCACAGGTTGACTGTGCGTTGTGTGAAGAAATACTTCCTTTTGTTTGTTTTAAACCTGCTGCCTATTAATTTCATTTGGTGACCCCTAGTTCTTGTGTTATGGGAAGAGTAAATAACACTTCCTTATTTACTTTCTCCACACCAGTCATGATTTTATATACCTCTATCATATTCCCCCCCTCTCCCCTTAGTTGTCTCTTTTCCAAGCTGAGAAGTCCCAGTCTTTTTAATCTCTCCTCATACGGAAGCTGTTCCATACCCCTAATCATTTTTGTTGCCCTTTTCTGAGCCTTTTCCAATTCCAATATATCACATCTGCATGCAGTATTATGATATTTTCTGTCTTCTTATCTTATCCTTCTCTTAATGATTACCAACATTCTGTTTGACTGCCGCTGCACATTGAGTGGATGTTTTCAGAGAACTACCCACAATGACTCCAAGATTAGTGGTAACAGATAATTTAGACCCCATCATTTTATATGTATAGTTGGAATTATGTTTTCCAATGTGCATTACTTTGCATTTATCAACATTGAATTTCATCTGCCATTTTGTTGCCCAGTCACCCAGTTTTGTGAGATTCCTTTGTAACTCTTCGCAGTCTGCTTTGGACTTAACTATCTACAGTATTGTATCATCTGCAAATTTTGCCACTTCACTGTTCACCCCTTTTCCCAGATCATTTTTTAAAACTGTTGTTGTGGTCTCAATACAAACAAAGTCAAGCTATTTAAGCAACAGTAAACAATGGATATGCAGGAATACAATATTCACTACACCAAAAGAAGTTACAAAAATATAAATTTTCAAAAATGGTCTCAAAGCCAGCATAGAAAAAAGTTGGCAAAACAGAGTCCAAGAATCTCTCACTGAAAGCCACTTTGTTCCCCTAGCTAGCTAGAATATTAAAATGAATGTCCTAAAGATTCATGTGATGAGGCTGTTTATAAATATCTTCAAATGGTAATTAATGTTACAATAATTTAAGTGTCCTCTCAGTTCTATGAACGCATCTTAGTCCTAACCTTCAATACCTCCTGCTTACATTCCAACAATAGCCCCCCTCTTTGCACAGACTTCCCAAATTTAGTGCAGTGTTACCTATAGACTAGATGCAAATTACCAAACTCATTCAACTGCAACTGAAGTTTTTAATTTGAAGTGTGGGTCACGGGTGCTATTCTTCCTCCATAATCTACCTGTATTGATAATCCTCTTAATGTTTCTCGATAACGATCATAACGGACAATGGCTTATGGCCAACAATATAGCTATCTGGCAGGACAGAAAGACAAAATCTAGCCTGGTGACTCAAGCAGCCACAATAATTAAGTCAATTTATAGACTAGTAAGTCATTCAGTTACCAAGGGGAAATTTTGTGTGGCTCATATTTGTCAGATAGAAATTTCAGATTTTCTGTAGCACTATATTCAGCCAATCAACAGTCCTAAAGATTTTATGGCAAAATAAATTCAAAAGACCACTTTTAGGTTTTTCTTAAGTCCCCATCACCACAATATACAAATACTGCACAGGCAAATTAGATCTATATAATGAGTCAGTTAACTTCATGGAGCTTTCTGTTCTTTTTCCTCCCCAAGTTGTAGAAAACTCTGCTTTTTGTTTGTAATTATCTACTAACCTTATGTCATGTCTCAGGCTACCCACATTCACAAAAAACGCAACAAATATAACATTGCCGCATCCAAAAGAACAGTCTTCCTAAAAAGGCAGTTGTGATACAATTATAGCTCCACTGTTTACAGTGGAGACTTTCTTTTGCAGCAAGAAGGCTACAAAGACCATTCATTTCTATTGACAAATGCACTTTACTATGAAATGGACAGTTTAAAACCAGTTTCTTGGAACCTCTCCAACTGAAACTACTTACATTTTTCTAACGCAGGGAATTGTATTCTACCTACACTAGATTTCCCTCTATAGTTTCAATTGCAGAAGTTATGCTTCACTTCCAACAGTACACTATATAGCATAGCTGTCCACGGACAGCTGAGTTTCAATCCAGCAGAGGCTGTATTTCAGTGATGGGTCAAACTGACTCCTGAATATAGAAGATGGTTGGGGTTTTTTAAGCCTTTTAAAATGAAATATACATAAACTGCAGAGTGTTTTTTCCTTATGTCAATGCTGAGAAATAAGCGAGGTTAGTTACAAAGTCTAAATCTTATTCTCCCCCAGCAGGTCACTAAATTTTTTTGTTCGTTTGTTGTTTATTTTAAAACTTAACCAATGGTCATACATATTTATTGCCGTTTCAGACAAGCAGATTGCAACTTTTCCTAATTCATTCCTATTCTCTTTTGGCCATGCACATAGGCCACTACCTTCAATCTATAAAGAATTGGAATTCAATAGGAATTCAATATATGAATTAGTGTAGAATAAGGTTCTAAAATTGCAATAATGTTGGAGTGAAATTGCCTTTATATTGTTTATGAAACTGCATATTATGCAGAAAGCAAACTACTACTTTACCTGTTGCTCACTCTGTGAAGAAGCAGTTTCTTCCAAACCAATAGCTAGTGAATTTTCATTATTTAAAGTGACAGCAATTGGTTGCGAGAGTGCCAGACTCAGAGTTTCATCATCTGCTCCTCCAGAAATATCCAGAAACACACTTCTATTAGTTTTATTCATTGAGACTTTTTGCTGTGTAGACTCCAGTTGTCCATGACCTGGATTAAGTTTATAATGTCGTGCTAATCCTCCATTTCCTATGTAGGATTTTTCACAAGTCTGACATTTAAACATTTTGGGCTTTAGGTTATAATTCAAAGGATTGAATAATGCATCCATTCCCTTTGCTTTCCCCTCATCGTCATCTTCTATGCTTAGTTCAGCATAGTCATCAGAATCAGACTGATGACCATCGGCCAAATCCTCTGTTTTAATGAATTTATAATCTTTCGCTTTATATTTTGGAGGGCGTGAAATCCGTCCACAACGAGTCTTCACTTTCAAAGACTTTTTTAGCTTTAGTTCTTCTTTTTGCTTTTTCTCAAGGCTCGAGATAAGAGTATTTGCTGAACTGGCTGCCACCAAAGTAACATTTCGAGACTCTGTAGCAGACACTGTGGCACATGTAGTTTTTTGTCCATTCAGTGCCTGGTGTGTGGGAATTTTATTCACTGACACTGGTCCATCAGGGGCTAAAGGTCTCTGCACAAGTAGCTGAACTGGAGGCTCAGAAGAACTATGCAAGAAAAACTGTTGCTGCTCAGTTCCTGTTACAGGCTGTATCCTAATAATCTGGGGATTAATAATATTAAGTCTAGACAGACCAGAATTCCTACCAACTGGCTGACTTGGTGTTATAGCTTTGGACTGCACTTCTGCAACAGGTGGCATTGGCTTTTCATTTTCCTTCATCTGCCCCGGCTGCACTTGAACACAAATGGCTTCTAATTGCTTTAGGGGAAAAAAAGTTGAAAATGTAAAAGTACAATATTATTTATCAAGATTTTACATCTTTGTGTATAAGACCTTAAAGTGAAACATGAAGAAACTAGATACATCATCCAGTTTTCTTACAACACTCAAGGGACATATTTCCTTGAGTGGACTGTCTATTAATTTTGCAGGCCAAGTATTAGGCCACCGTTATACCCTAATAAATGCACAGTTCAAAAATCCTTAAGATGATATAAGCAACTCAGGCCTCTGGCCTATCACCTCCTGTCTGTCCTCCTCTCCCCACCCTATTTATTTATTGTTTTGTTTTTTAAAAATCACACCGCAGGGATAGCAAGGGACTGAGGAAGAGTCAAAGCCTGTCTATTGCCTCTTATTTAAGTGTCCATTTCTCTAGCTGCAAACCATCCATCAAAGCACTTAAGCACATGCCAAAGTGCAAGCACACAAATAATCCCTCTGATGCTGTGCAAACACATGCTTAAGTGCTTTGCTAGATCAAGGCCTAAATGCACAGCTCTCCACTTAAAGGAAAGTCTACAAGTTAATTGCTTCTAGTTGGCAAATAATCCCTCTCCCCCCTCCCCCAATTAAGCAAATACTATCCCCAAAGAAAAGGCTCATTATTATTATTTTTGTATTACAGTGATGCCCAGAAACTCTAATCATGGACCAGGATCTCACTGTGCTAAGCACTGTATGAAAGGACAGAACAAAACAAAAAACAAAACAAAAATGTAGTCCCTGCCCCAAAGACCTGACAGTCTAAATTCAGTCCAGACTTCTAATTTCAAACTACAAATGTTTCTATTATAACAACACCTGTTCAAGAGTGTGAACAGAGATTTTTCTGTTTTTAAAAACAGTCTTCCATAATACAAACACAGCTGAACGAATATTACTCACTTTAAAAAAAAAAAGTTACTGTTGGGCAAGAACCAAACATGGAAAATCTTAGCCCAAAAGGAAAATATTAGGAAAGTTAAAGAGTGCATGAAAACAAAAGTTATAATAGAAACAGCTTTAAAATCTCAAGTATAGCAGGCAGCCACTGTAATAAAAAAAACAAAACACCTATAGATCAATGAGCTAGCACAAACTAAGTACCCCAAACACTCAGTTGCTAGATACGCTAGACTGACAGGTTACATTGGCCTAGTCGCTGTAAAGTAGTTCTTCCAAATCATGTTGGACAACTGTGCTTATTCTGCCAGACTAGAACATAGGTCACGCTGACCAGCGCCTGTCACCTCCATTCAACAGTATACGCTCTACCTTGTTAGAAACGGAGCTGCTCTCAACATCAATGTTCCAACTATTAGACTGGAGAAATCTAATTCCAAGGCAGGTTAAACTGATCAGGAAATTAGGGTCAGCAGTGGAACTAGTGCAATAGCACTCAGCAGTTTCATCACTGAGAACGGGCCATGACTATTCAATGTTCAGCACATTCTAGTTCCCAGGCCCAATTCTATATTGGAGACCACTTTCCCATTCACTTGACCCTTGGCTTTCCAAAGACATTCCCTCTTCCCCTTTGTTTACCTTGTGTACAAGGCACCTGGTGGTACCGATAGTTTTGCCCTGCTGAAGGGCAACCTGCTGGGCCACATTCTGCAACTGCTGTGCTGCATTGTGCATGATACTGGTCACCGGCTGGGACCCGGAGGCAGCAGTCAGGCTACAGCCCTGTGGGGAACTGCTGAACCCTGATGCTGGGGGCATGAGGCCAATCTCCTGGGGTAGCGAGTACCCCCCAGCTCGAGGAGGAGGCAACAATAAGGATCCAATGCCAGCTCCAGAGGAGGGAAGAAGGGGCGGTGGAGGCTGCTTCTGGGCCCTGCTCACTTGTTCGATGACCCTCTGCAGCTCCTCGGGGGCCAGGGGCGCCGCTGTGGCCTGCTGGCCGGGAGGCTGAGCCAGTGGCTCGGCCTGACTCCTCTCCGCAGGCAAATTCCCCGGCAACCCAACTGCCTGGTTCTCGGTCGCCGCCACCACCAGCTGCTCCTCCGCGCTCAGCTCAGCCCCCTGCACCAGGCTCCCACCCGGCTCCAGGTAGAGGGCGGTGCCGACGGCGGAGGAGCTGGCAGCCAGGCTCTGGGCCAACTCCTCGGTCACCGCCAGCACCTCCGATCCCTCCTCGGTGGGGGATCCAGCCTCCAGGGGGCCCAGCAGGCCTCCGCCCTCCTCAGGCTCCAGCGGACCCAGCAAGTCACCCCTGGCCGCGACCGCCCCGGGGGGATACCCAGGTCCCAGCAGGCCAACCCTCTCCCCGGCCGCCGCGCTGTGGCGAGCCCCGCGGGCGGCGGCCGGTCCGGGGGGCTCTTCCTCAGCAGGAGACGGCGGCGATGCCACCGTCGCGCTCTCTCCGCCCCCATCCTCGGGAGCCGCCATCTTGGCAGCTGTCGGGGGGCGGGAGACGCATTCGGCCCCCAGGTCTTAAAGGTGCGGAGCGAACCTACAGGAACCGGCAATGCGGGAGCCAATGGGGGCCGCTGCTGTGGTCTGGACACGTCATCATGGAAGGGGCGTGGTCATATGGACGGACCGGGGCCCAGGAGGGACAAGACACTTTCGAAAGCGTTTTCCTGTGCGGTGGTGCTCAGTGTAATACAGTTGAATTCGGTATACACTCATTCAACAGTATAGTTCAGTGCAATTCAATTCAGTGCAACACCCGCAAGTAGAATTCAAAACAGTGCAACTCATAGGGCGTCAGTACGTCTGTATAGACAGATTTGATACACCATGGGATAGACAAAAAGCATCTGAAACTGATTACAGTGCTTTTAAAAGTAAAAATAAGTGGTGGGGGAAGATCTCAAGCCTTTTTTTGTAAAGTAAATTGTATCCAAACCAAATGTCAGCCTGTTTTCTGAAACACACAAGATATAATCCCCCGATTAAGGGGTTTTAATGGAAATGCCAAGTCAACTTTACCCACAAAGGTATTACCTCACTGTTTTAACATTTTGGCTCTGATCCTGCAAAGATGTGTGCACGTGCTTACCCTCAAATCTATGGGATTAGGTACATGCATAATTTTTTCAATGAGCAGCATGCTGAGTCTACCCTGACTTTTAACCATTTCATTGGGAATGTTTTCTTCAATTTTTTAATTTGAAGTAGGGCAGTTTTCTCTGCATGACAATATTTTTTACAACCAGTTTTCAGAGTAGCGTAAAATTATTCAAGAGAATCAAGAGAGACTAGTTTTCTACTTTTAAACGTTCTAAAGCAAAAATAAAGAGACTATTTGAAATTTGTGGAGGGACTATTTTACATCTACAGTTTACTTCTCAACTCACCTAAATGTGCTGTGCTGTTACTCTTTTGCTGAATATATATTTTTAAAACTATTATTTTGTATTGCACCAAGTAATGTGCTATAACAAAAACATGAAAACTCAAATATGAGTGTGCAGATAGATGCAGGCATAATGGATACACTTGCATTTCTGACTGCAGATAATGTAATTGTGGGTGCATAAAATCCTCAGGCAAAGGTTCCCCCTAAAAACTGTGGTGCTGCATTATAAGGTTATTGATCTTTTTAAAAGCTTGATGGAGAGGCAGTTTAAACCTCACCCTTTTGGTAGCTGATTGAAAGTAAAACAATCTCAGTCATTATTTTATAACAAGATTTTAATTTTAATATGAGCATGTTAATTTGCGTTTTTATCCATCAAAACATATTAATGGAAAGTCAATGTGATATTAAAAAAATAGAAGAAAAAATTGCTTTGTGGCCCGTACGGGGATCGAACCCGCGACCTTGGCGTTATTAGCACCACGCTCTAACCAACTGAGCTAACCGGCCACTTCGTACAAAACGCTTGCACTGATCTCCATAAGAATAACACAAGAACTACTGTTGCCATTTCTCCCCTTCTAACTTACTGTAGACTCGTGTAAATATTGCCTGTTCCCGAGACAATGTACTCAGTTCCCGCCCCGACAGCGGGGTCCGGGGTCCAGACTCCAGACCTTGTAGGCTCAATAAACATATTTGAGCCAGCGATTATACAAACCCGTTCAAAGGGTTCAGACGGGGGGGCCATGAGTAAGCAGGAGCAACAACCCTAAGGTACAAACAGCCCACAGGTCTCATTCATTCAGGCTAGATTCATAGCTAGTAAGTTATACCCCCACGCATGGCTTTTTAAAAGTGACTCCCGTTTTATTTCATTAAATGGAAATATTTCTTTTGCCACTTATTTTAATATTATTTATTTTTAATTCCCATTTATTTTACATACTGCTTTTTAAACAAATATTGCATTGGTAAAATATGAGTCACATATTATTTTCTTTCTATAACTTTTGGGTTTATTGTAAATTGTATCTTTATTTTACGTTAAAATAAACTTGTATTATTTATAGATGGTCAGTCCTGCAGCAAATCTTGCAGTTTTCAGCTGAGATTGCTAGGTAGGCCATCAAACAAGAAAAAGAACCACAAACAGGGGAAGTGCAAGTTAGTAAACCAGAAATTCTGTTTAATGCACATGCATCAAATCCACTATTTTTCTTCCTAATATTATTATAGGTTCTCTGGCAAAGATGATGAACTTCTAACTGGATTGTAGCCACACCACTTTTACCGCTAGTTGTTTCACAGTGAATGACAGGTGGTAAGGATCAACTGTAGGCTTAACATACCTACCTAAATATGACTCTGAAAAGAGGAGGTAGTACTCACCTTACGTCTAATCACTATTGCTATATTTAATGTATTGAATAAATATGGACCTATCTATACAGTACTATATACTTAATATACTTCTAAAATTGTTCATTAATCAGAAATTTTGTGTGGGTGTAGCAACAATTCATAGATTCATAGGACTGGAAGGGACCCTGAGAGGTCTTCTAGTCCAGTCCCCTATGCTCAAGGCAGAACAAAATATTTGACCATTTGTGACAGGTGTTTGTCTAACCTGGTCTTAAAGAACTCCAATGACAGAGATTCCACAACCTCCCTAGGCAATTTATTCCAGTACTTAACTACCTTGGCAGTTAGGAACTTTTTCCTAATGTCCAACCTAAACCTCCCTTACTGCAATATAAGCACATTGCCAGGGCCGGCTTTAGCAAGAGCGGGGCCCGATTCCTGGGGGCGGGGGCTTGCTCCCGGCAAGCCCCGCCCCCAGGAATCGGGCTGCGCTCCAGCTGGGGTCAAGGAGCTCGGGTCTGGGCTGGAGCTGCTGGGGCCGGAGCCGGGGGTGCTCGGCCAGCACGCTCGGCCATGGCCGGCACCCCAGGGCCCGAGCTGACCTGGGCCGGAGCCGCTCAGGCCGGGTCCGGGAGTGCTCAGCTGGTGCCGGTGCCGGGCCGGCGCATTTGGCCGGAGGCGCGGGGCCGGGGCCGGGCTGGCGCACTCGGCCGGAACCGGGGCCGGCACCCCGGGGCCCGAGCCGAGCTGGGCCAGAGCCGCTTGGGCCGGAGCCGTGGGGCCATGGGTGCTCAGCCGGGGCCGGAGCTGCGGAGCCGGGGCCGGGCCGCGCCCTGAGGCCCAAGCTGAGCCGGAGCCAGGGCCACCGGTGCTCGACCGGAGCCGGACTGGGCCGCGCCTCCCCAGATCCCTCCTTGCGCCCCCCCACCCCAGTTTACCTGCTGCCGCCTGCCCTTGCTTGTTTTCAGACTTCCCGCAAACATCTGATTCGCGGGAAGCAGGGGAGGGGGAGGAGCAGGGGGCGGAGCATTCAGGGGAGGGGAGGAGGGGGAAGTGAGCTGGGGGCGGGGTGGACAGCTGCGGGACCCTCTTAGGCGCGAGGCCCGATTCAGTAGAATCGGCTGAATCGGCCTAAAGCCGGCCCTGCCCATTGCTTCTTGTCCTATCCACAGAAGTTAAGAACAACAATTTTTCTCCCTCCTCCTTGTGATAACCTTTTATATACTTGAAAACTGTTATGAACCCTCTGTCTTCTCTTTTCCAGACTAAACAAACCCAATTTTTTTTATCTTCCCTCATAAGTCATGTTTTCTAGACCTTTAATAATTTTTGTTGCTCTTCTCTGGACTTTCTCCAATTTGTCCACATCTTTCCTGAAATGTGGCGCCCAGAACTGGACACAATACTGCAGTTGAGGCTGTATCATCATGGAGTAGAGTGGAAGAATTATTTCTCATGTCTTGCTTACAACACTCTTGCTAATACATCCGAGAATATGTTTGCTTTTTTTGCAACAGTGTTACACTGTTGACCATAGGTGCCGACTCCATGGGTGCTCCGGGGCTGAAGCACCCATGGAAAAAAATTGGTGGATGCTCAGCACCCACTGGCAGCTCCCTGTGGCCCCGCCCCGCGCCCCTGCTCCAACTCACCTCAGCTTCCGCCTCCTCTGCGAGCGCGCCACCGCATCCTGCTTCTCCCCCCTCCCTCCCAGCACTTGCGCCGTGAAACAGCTGATTCGCCGGGCAGGGAGGGGGGAAAAAGGGGAACGCGGCGCACTGGGGGAAGAGGCGGGGCCAGGGAGGGGATTTGGGGAAGGGATCCAATAGGGGCAGGGAGGGGGCAGAATTAGGGTGCGGACTTTGGGGATAGGGTTGGAATGGGGGCGGGGATGGGGTGGAGTTGGGGCGGGGCCACGGGTGGGGAAAGGGGCGGGGGATGCAGGCACCCACCGGCGCTGGAGAAAATTGGTGACTATGCTGTTGACTCATATTGAGCTTGTGATCCACTATGATGCCCAGATCCCTTTACGCAGTACTCCTTCTTACATAGTCATTTCCCATTTTGTATATGTGCATCGGATTGTTCCTTCCTAAATGGAGTACTTTGTATTTGTCCTTATTGAATTTCATCCTAATTAACTTAAACCCGTTTCTCCAGTTTGTCCAGATCATTTTTAATTTTAATCCTATCCTTCAAGACATTTGCAACCGCTCTCAGCTTGGTATTCTCTGCAAAAATTATAAGTGACAGGTTTCAGAGGGGTAGCCGTGTTAGTCTGTATCAGCAAAAACAATGAGGAGTCCTTGTGGCACCTTAGAAACTAACAGATTTATTTGGGAATATCAACAGAGGGAAAATTACTTTTTGTAGTGCTAATGAGGCCAATTCAATCAGCGTGGATGTGGCTCACAGATACTCACACCTTCTTGTCAACTGTTGGGAATGGGTCACATCCACCCTGATTGAATTGGCCTCGTTAGCACTGATCCCCTACTTGGTAAGGCAACTCCCATCTTTTCATGTGCTGTATATTTATATCTGCCTACTGTATTTTTCACTCCGTGCATCTGATAAACTGGGTTATAGCCCATGAAAGCTTATGCCCAAATAAATCTGTTAGTCTCTAAGGTGCCACAAGGACGCCTCGTTAAAAATTGTAAGTGTACTCTCTATGCCATTATCTAAATCACTGATGAAGATACTGGACAGAACTGGACCCAGAACTGATCCCTGCAGGAACCTACTTGATATGCCCTTCCAGCTTGACTGTGAACCACTAACTACTCTCTGGGAACAGTTTCCCAACCAATTATGTACTCACCTTATATTAACTCCATCTAGGTTATATTTCCCTAGTTTGTTTATGAGAAGGTCATGTGATACAGTATCAAAACCTTACTAAAGTCATGATATACCACATCTACCACTTCCCCCCCATCCACAAGACTTGTTACCTTAAAACTTTTAAAACTTACTTCATATTTCAAATTTGTATGAGACTTTTAAATTTTTAATTGAAAACACAATACTGATACACTAGTACTTAAAAAAAAAACAAGCCTAAGTCACTACCTTCTACAAGAAAATGTATGAAAGGGCCAAATAATTCTGCAAGTTTGAATATATGTAATTTCTATGGAATTCTCCCAGTAAGACCCATTTTTCACATTGTTTTACAGTTATACTGTGTGTGTGTGTGTGTTTTTTTTATAATAGTTTGTTTCTATAGTTTTGATGATTTACAATTAAAAAATATTTATTTGTACTATCACAGGCAAGCATAGTGCTTTACAGAAAGGCATAACAAGATGCATTTACAGTCCTGCTCCTGCAATGGGACTACTCAGGTAATTACAAATGTTAAGTGTTACAGAGATAAGGGGGGTGAGGTAATATCTTTTACTTTTAGTAAATATCTTTTAATATCTGGTGGGGAGAGAGACAAGCACTCTTGCAGCAAAAAGAAGAACAGGAGTACTTGTGGCACCTTAGAGACTAACAAATTTATTAGAGCATAAGCTTTCGTGGACTACAGCCCACTTCTTCGGATGCATATAGAATGGAACATATATTGAGGAGATATATATACACACATACAGAGAGCATAAACAGGTGGGAGTTGTCTTACCAACTCTGAGATGGTAAGACAACTCCCACCTGTTTATGCTCTCTGTATGTGTGTATATATATCTCCTCAATATATGTTCCATTCTATATGCATCCGAAGAAGTGGGCTGTAGTCCACGAAAGCTTATGCTCTAATAAATTTGTTAGTCTCTAAGGTGCCACAAGTACTCCTGTTCTTCTTTTTGTGAAATCTTTGTATTTACTTATTATTATCATTATTGTTATTGTGGTGTGAAAAAAAATGTTCCTCTGGAGTCTAGACCTTGACTATTCCTTGACCAAGACCTTGACAAAAAAATAATTGGCTACACCGCTAAGCAGTGTGACGTTCCCCTTGCCTTGAGAAGACCCCCCCACAGCACTGCGGGGCTGCCCAGGTAAGGCCAGCCTAACCTAATCCTCCTCCCGCGCCCGGCCCACCCACAGGGAGCATCCTCAGGGGCAAAGCACCTGCCCGGCCTCAGAGCTTGGAAACCTGGGAACACAAATCCCTATTGCGTTTGCCCAACAGTCACGGACTGAGGCGCAAAAGAAGTCTCTACTGCACATGCGCAGGCGGAGCCGTGTGGGGTACAAGGTTCTGGTTTGCCACTGTGCATCATCCGTCAAGGACGGGTGGGGAAAAGAGAGAAAGCGAGAGGGTTGCTACGCCTGCGCAAACGGGGTCGTAAGTGGCCCGGCCTAAAAACAAACTGTACTACGCCTGCGCGACTGTGAAACTGGGTAAAGATTGGAGAGCCTGTAATCTCGCGCCATGGGAGAAGAAGGAGACGGTATTGCGCTTGCGTGCCGGGGGGAGGCAGCTGCATTGCGCTTGCGCGGCTTTGTGGGCGGGTGGGGCTGACTCGGCTGTGTTTCTGGGCTGGAATCCTGAGCCTGTGCGGTTGCCAGGGTGACGGGAATACAACATGGCGCGCTGACAGCTCTGTCGGGAGGGGTGGGCGCTGCAGTGAAGGCCTCAGCCTTTCCCTCCCCGTCCCCACACCGCTGAGGAGCCGCAGGATGAACAGTAAGGGCGGAGAGGGACGGGGCCCGGGGGCGGTGTGAGGGGAGCGAGGGAGAGGGCCTCCGGCTGCGGGGGGTACGGGGGACAGTTTCTCTGTGGAGAGAGAGGGAAATGCGGAGCGGGAGGCGCTAACGGGGTGCAGCAGGCAGGATGTGTAAGTGGGAGCGGGATCGCCGTAGGTTGGCAGCGGGTCCTGTGGCAGGGAGCAGACCCTCCTAGGGCAGAGAGAATGGAGATACTGTGTGAGGACGGGGGTGAGGCGGTGTCTAAGCCTTGCTCTGGGTGGGGCAGGTGCATGAGGTGCTTGTGCCCCACTTTTGTTATGTGTGAGTGGAGGACTAGGCTCCAGTGTCAGATCCATTTGGAACAGAAATGGCCCTGCTATTGAGATGGGGATGGAATATGCATATTGGACTATGGGGTGGTGGGAGGGGGACCAGATCCTACTATGCAAAGATATATGAGGAGATAAGTAGCTGGGGGAAGGACCTGCCCTCTGATTACTAATATCAGTAAAGGAGCATCACAAGACCCACCTCAGCCTCTCGGTTGGTTCTGATGCTGTTGATCATTTTTTTCTTGACTTTTTGCCCTCATTGGCTTTTGAGATACTGTCCTCTTCTGGATTTCCTCCTACCTGTCCAATCATTCTTTCATCAGGTTCTGTCCTTGGCCCTTTGATCATCTCACTTTACAGGTTGTCCCTGGACAATATCTTCTCACATGGTTTCAAATATCAACTCTGTGCTGATGACTTTCAAAACTTTCTCTCTACCATTGACCTGTCTCTTTCTAAACAATCCCATCTAATATCCCAGAGGAAATGTCAGAGAGATACGTTATCTTATCCATTTAAACTGAACATGGCCCCAAACAAACTCTTAAACTTTCCTCACAAACCTCCTCTTCCCCCTTTTTTATCACTGTTGGCACCATTCTCTTTATTACTTATAAATTAAAAATTAATCCCATGTTCAGTATATCTTTCTCTTGGCCTACAGCGTCTTCCTTCTCAACATCTCCATACTACATCCTTTTCTTTCCATCTCCACACCCACATTTCTGGTTTAGTTCCTCACTGTATTCCACCTTGACTACTGCAGTATCCTCCTATATTCATAGATTCTAGGACTGGAAGGGACCTTGAGAGATCATGGAGTCCAGTCCCCTGCCCTCATGGCAGGACCCAATACTGTCTAGACTATTCTGGATAGACATTTATCTAACCTACTCTTAAATATCTCCAGAGATGGAGATTCCACAACCTCCCTAGGCAGTTTATTCCAGTGTTTAACCACCCTGACAGTTAGGAACTTTTTCGTAATGTCCAACCTAAACCTCCCTTGCTGCAGTTTAAGCCCATTGCTTCTTGCTATATCCTTAGAGGTTAAGGTGAACAAGTTTTCTCCTTCCTCCTTATGACACCCTTTTAGATACCTGAAAACTGCTATCATGTCCCCTCTC